TATTTTAGTAGATTTTTTTTTTTTTTTTCAACACTTTTTTGACCGCTCGGGATTTGCCCGATTAGAGCGGTTGACTCGGACGGTTTACCGGTTAGGCCAGTTAAACTACTTCCAAGCTCATGTCTGGTTAACCATTCCGGTTCGATTTTGCGAACATTAGCTTCGACTATGCAGGCCTGACAGGTGCCCATAGCATCATATCCCATAAACTGGGGGGGTGTATAATTACTATATAATCAATCACATTTTTATTACAAATGATTGAAATTTTTTATTTAAATCAATTAGCATTTGACTTGTATTTGGTTGTGTCCATATTTTTATGGTTTAATTTTTAAAAAATATTTTTTATTTTCCTCCTTTTTAAAAAACGATGATTTTTAACCTTTTTTTTTTTTGAATTTTTTATTGTTTATCATTTTCATATTTTTAAAATTTTTTAAATTTATTTTTTTTTACTTTTTTTTATTTATTTATATTTTTTTTTTTTAGTAAGTGGGGTGGGGTCATTTGCTTTTTGGGGTGCGGGAGGCTACCCATGGTGGACTCGGGAAAGCCAACTAGGACAAGCCTGAGTGACTTGGCCAGGACAAGGACGAAGACGAGTTCGTATAGGGGGGTGTTAAGGAATCATGAACGTAATATTTTGTGCTCTTTTGCTAGATCCTGGATGGCAAGGACAAATTGAGTGCTCTTCTTTAAGGGCTAGAGATCATTCGAGGCAAAGGTCTAATGGGGGAAATTGTGGTCGAGGGAGATTCCTTAAATGTCATTAAGTGGTGTAATAAGGAACAAAAGATTCTTCGATCTCTTCGATCTATGTGGTCGAAAATCTTGGATAATTTTTCATCTGTTGTGAGTGCTGTGAGATTCCCACTCTCAAACTTTATCTATTAGGTTACGAGTGCTCTCTCCTCTTCTCTTCTCCCTCTCTCACTGACTGGTTGAGAAGAGAAGAGAGAGAAAATAATTGGAGTGGATTGAATGGGATAGGTTATAAGAGGGAAAGGACATGTGGGGTTAAGAGTAATTATTGAGAGTCATTTAAGGAAATAAATATATAAAATTAAAAGGTTCAGGGATTAGGGGTTTGGGTGAAAACTATTGGTTTTCTTTAATGTCACATGAAAGAAAATATTAGAGAGTGGCTCCCACAAAATGAAGGAGATTTTCGGATATTACTTAGATATTTTCCCAAGATTCTAACTCATTATGAAACTTATAACTTTTATGGAGAAATTTCATATAGACCCCCAATTTATTTACTAATTTCGCAATAGCCTCTACCGATGCTTTCCTTTTAAGGCAATATTAAAGTTTCTCTAAACATTTCATCCTACCCCCTCATCCCCTCTCTACCCTCTTTTCTCAATTTTTTTAATATGAAATTGTCATTAACAATTTAATGTATGCCAAATAAGAACGTCCTCTTTATTTTATATTTGCAAAAACATAAGCTTAATGAAGGTAGACCTTATTTAACATGGTAAACAATCTTGAATTAAAAAGGAAATTACCATATTCAAAAGAAAAAGAGAAGGGAAATAATCTAATGCAACGGTTGTATAGTAGTATAATGTAACCACACCTCTAGAAAACCATATTTTTGGTATTTGTATGGCCCCAAATTTTACACACACATTCTTCTCTTACTCATAATCAATCTTATAGAAAAAAAAATTCAATTTGCACCTTGGTCAACGTTAGTACCCATCCAAAAATACATCTCAATCATCCATTTGGTGAATTTCAAGATCTATGCCTTAAAAAATTCAACATCACTTCTTTTTTTAGTATTATTAATTTAATGATGATAGCACTATATAAAAATTTTGGGAATAAAAGAAATCTTTCTGAAGCCCTTATCTAACCATCTCAATAAAATGGACGGCTTATATTAATTGGGCTAGAATGAAAACTTTCTATAGAACTTTTTCAAAATTTTCTTTTTTGTGATTGTTCTTCAGAATGAAAAGAGTGTACATTTAAAAATTTGTGTCAAACAAATGTCTCTAATATGTTTTTGAAGATGGTTGCATTATATTACTATACAGCCGTTCCATAAAATCGTTTTCCAAAAAGCAGGAAAAATACCACAACATTGAATATAACAAAAAAATTAAATGGTTATCGGAAACATTTATTTTCCTTGTTCTTTGCTTCTAGAATGTTCGGTATAATTAGCCATTGGGATGGTAAGGGGATTTGCTGATTTGGGTTTCCTATGTTTTATGTGCACATGCCTTTAGAAGCCTTAGGTTTGATGGATTTAAGTAAAATACGATTAGGTTGCACTTTTCAGGACCCCTTTTTTTTTTTTTTTTTTTTTAACATCATGATATCCAATCTCTATTCGTAATTAGAAAATGTTCATAGGTTAACTCCATTTTAATATCAAGGAAGAAGTTTATATAACGAGGTCAACCTTATGCTGTAGAAATTAGATGCACCTCAAAACTCCATCGAAAAAGGTTGTTATGATACTGGAAAACTTTTCAATTGAATCTTGTGATGTATTGATATGAAAAGAAAATGATTTTAAGTATTAAAAATGAAGCGTCTAGTAACATATTATCCGGACCGTCCATTTCAAGATTTTCAAGTGTTTATAGATCAACTTGATCTACAAATTTTGTAAAGCTTTAAATTTTATATTCAGGAGTAAAAACAGATTTTCAAACAATCACGAGAGTTTGTGGTACCTAAAAATGCATCTTCAAATAGTATTTTGAAGGTGACCTTTACTTTGATTGTTTTAGCCTTTTAGGTGAGTACCTTATATAAACCACACTCATTTATTGATAAGGATTTCTAAGTTTGATGAATTGTGATAGCTTAGAGTTGATTGGTTAAGATGTTGATCGCTGCAACCCCATCACAAGTTCTAATGCAGCTATTGAAGTGGGGACATTGATGGGCTTACTGGCTTGTCCCGACCCTAAATAACCTAGGCTTGGGCCCTTATTTTTTGCCCATAAAACAGGCCTAGGCCTAAAATCGGCCCAATGGCTGTGTAGCGACTGGGCTAGGATTCAATGGCCCCTGCAGTCCAACCCATCAAGCTATATACTCTTATGACCATATCGAGTACATAGTCTATATAATCTATGAATTGTATCGCCCATAGACTATATAGTGTACATTTTAAAAAAACTATATAGACATAAACTAACTTTTTTTTATTACAAAATTTTTAATAATTAGAGTTATATATGTCATATTTACTAATTTTTGTATACTATAAAAAATGATAATTTAGCTTGATTCTAATATAAATACCAAAATAAGTAATTTTTGAGTAACAATTTATAAATTTACTATCATATTGTATAAGGATAAATTCGTAAAGGTCTACATTGCCAATATTAAAAATTAAGAAAGAAATTATTGAAAAGGTAAAATAGAAATTATGACATATCTTACTCTTTAAAATAAGAATTTTGAGAAATTAAAAGAAATGAAATTAGCCAATATTCATGATCCTATATCAGTTTGCTAGAGGACTTTATTGATCAAGAATTTTAAAGGCAAATCTTCTACATTGAGGGAGTAGGGTTAAGAGAAAAACATAATTGAAAATCATAAAAAGAATGAAAAACCAAGAGAAAGCATCATATTCCCCTTCCGTGGAATATAAAAATTAAGAAAGCATATAAGATTAGAAGCCAGTATTTATCTTCTATATGAAAGGAAACCTTAATAGAGAGTTAAATAAAAATAAATAAAAAAATAAATAAAAAAGAAGAAGTTCTTATTCTATTCTCATTGATCTTTATCCTACTCATATCACTTAGAATAGAAATCCGATACAAAAGTGAAAGTTTTGCGGGAGATGGAGAAAGCTTTAAGGTTCGACCCCCTTCTTAGCCTCGGGGAGTAGCAAGCAGCAGAGAACTCAAATCAATTAAATGGCATAGCATAGGTGGCTTTCCTTTGTTAGAGATCCAAATAAAAATAAAATAATCATAATCATAATAAACAACATAAAATAAAAAAAAAATTCCAAATTGAAAATTCTTACACTTTTAAAGAAATGCAAAATGAGTTGCAAGAAGCTTTTCAGGCTCAAAAAAGAAAAAAGAAAAAAAACAAAAAAAAAGCTTTTTAGTGCACGGGTTGGGCTGGCCTGGGGATCAAGGCCAACAAAGGGCTAGGGCTGGCCAGACCCCTTGCCAGCCCAGAGTCGTATCTGGATTGGGTGGAAGGCAAATTCAAGTTTGAGGAATTCTGAAATTGCTCTTATTCTTTGATTTTTTATTTATTATGGAAATTACCAAATTATCTATATGAGATGAAAAAAAAAGTTAATACTCTCTTGATTTGAATTCAAAATACCTATAAAAACCACCGTCTTGAAATAGTTGCAAATAGATAAATTGTAAAACAATTTGGGTATTTAGATAAATTTTTCTTTTCTTTTAATTCCTTATCTCCAACCCGATCAGATTGGAGAAATCCCCGAGTCGGGTGGGGGAATAGGAATTGGACGCATGGCGATTCAAGAATCAAATCCGATTTTTTGCATCACCTTATTCCACTGTGATGGCCCTATAATAAAGCTTAAGGACTTGGAATTTTTTATTTTAGATTTTTATTTTTATTTTTATTTTTCCACAATGTATTCTTTTGTGAAATCCTGCACTTTAGGATAAGAAGCAAGAGAGAAACTCCATTCATATTTGTAATTGTCAAAATTAACTTTGAGGGTTTGTTTTAAAGTAAAAGTTTAATATCCAATAAGTAGGGGTGGCAAGGTCCGGGTCCATTGCCACCCCCGGTAAGATTTGGGCTGCTTTTTTACTGTGAATCCAACCCTCATCGTAAGCTTTTCCTTTATTATGATATTTGACTGAAACTTGATCTCAGAAAAGTAAAAATCAATCGATATTTTGAGATGAATGGGAAAGAAAATCCCCAATTCATTTAGGTATAGAGAATTAGAAACTTATGGAGAGAGAGAACCAAAATTACTTAGTGTAATACAGTAAAAAAAGCACAATTATTTTTCTTCTCTTTCAAGTCTTTACATCCAAAGCGTAGACCCTTGAAGTTCTCCAAGTGTCCCTTTCTATACACACAAACAGTACTTGTGTCTACTGTAGATGATGCTCCAAATCATACTCCTCTGTCCCAAGGATATACGCAGTGTCCCATGAATTGAAAGACCCTGATTCCGAATCGTTAACCCACAACGCCAGATTCTCACTTGTACTCTCCATCTCTCTAAAACAGTCGAGCCCATCTCTATCTGTTTCCCTCTCTAAAAAGCCCCTGGTTTCTCCATTTTGCAGCTCGCCCTCCTCCATTAAAAACCCATCAATGGCCTCCAGGCTCATGCCTGAGTTCGCAACCGGCTTTTCCTGAGAGATGAAGTCCCCATTGAAGCGAGTAGAGTGAGGGGAAGATAACCCATTCGTGGAATTCTCTCTCTCATCAGTTTCGGTACCGATTTTACCGTTGCTTGGAGGTTTTCCAATTAGGTTTCCTGCAAAATCATTGGGTATGAAATTCCGCGCCGTGTTTTTGTTGTTTTCGATGCTGTTTCCGTCAAAGAGAGGCGGAAACCTCGGCCAAATCGAGGGGCTTAAGAGAGAGAGAGGGTGATGAAGGCTCTGCAACTGTATGTGAAGTTGCATTCTTTCGAGGGCAGAGGTGCTCAAAGAGTCCATCAATGGCGAGTTCCTCGCATCTGCATTCGAATCTCTTCTTGAATTCTGCTCCTTTCTTCTCCCTAAAAGCTTCTTCTTGAGCTTGGTGTTCCAATAATTTTTTATATCGTTATCAGTTCTTCCTGGTAATTGAGCTGCAATTATAGACCACCTGCTCGAAAATCACAGAGTTAAAAAAGCCCAAATTCGAAAAAATTTACCTAAATGCCTATAATTACATTTACTAGTGTAGAGCCTGAAGGATTGTTTCTGTAATTGGGGACACCAACCTGCTACCTATGCTTATGTATAAGCTGCAAATGATTCGGTCTTCTTCTTCTGAGAATCCACCATGCTTGATGTTGGGTCTCAAGTAATTGAGCCATCTCAGCCTGCAACTCTTGCCACATCTTTTGAGGCCTGAAAGGAATGAAACGAGTTAATACAAGGACATTCAATTCTCTCTCTCTCTCAGAGCAATACGAAGGATAACCAATGCTCTCTCTCTCTCTCTCTCTCTCTCTCTCTCTCTCTCTCTCGTATACGTACGAAAGTACACTAGCTCTCTTCTCTCTCTCTCTCTCTCTCTCTCTCTCTCTGTAATACCAAGGAAAATCAATGCTCTCTTTCTCTCTCTCTCTCTCTAAGACAGACAATCAATGCTCTCTCTCTCTCTCTCAAATGAAATAAAAATAATCACGGACTATGAAAGCAAGAGCATGACTCAGTCTCTCTGTAATACTAAGGACAATCAAAGCTCTCTCAATATCACCTCTCTCTCAAAGACCAGGACAACCAATGCTCTCTTTCACACACAAATCCATTGAAAAGAATCAAAAGACAAAAACTATGAAACATGACTCTTAATCTTCTCTCTCAAATCAATGGAAACCGGAAGAATGAGTCAGTCACTCTCGCGCTCACAGTCGAGAAATGCTCTCTCCCTCAACTCAAGTGAAAAGAATCCGAAACTTAAAGGGAAAGAGTATGGCTATTTCTCCCGCGTCAATCGAGGAAACCCAAACTTACAGCAAGAGCATGATTCTCTCACTGTTGAATTGAGGAAACCCAAACCTACAGCAAGAGAATGATTATCTATCTATAGTGAAATGCAAGAGTTCACCATCTCTTCTCAAAGGAAACCAACCAGTCTCCAGACATGGCCCCCTCTCTAACAAAAGGATCCGAAACTGAAATGAGTGAGAGAGAGAGAGAGAGAAATACCAATCTTTTGAGGCAAGGCGATCCAGTTGCCCCCAGTGCCCTGCTGCTCTATAAAAGCCTTGAGCTTTGCATCTTCCTCAGGAGACCACGGCCCTTTCTTGACGTTGGCTTTGTCGCAGCAAGGAGCCCTCCCCATGTTCTCTCTCTACTAGTTTTAGGAAGAGCAAGGCTGCTTTTGCTTTCACGTGGGCTTGATGAACCAAGTTTTATAGGCAGAGGGCTTAGCTCAAGGGGACAAAAGTATTACGTACACATCTATGTCCCACACTTTTGAGCCTGTACCCTACCCTATCTGGCTGACTTTTCCGCTTTTCTTTCCCCTACTTGCTGTGGGTTGTTTACCTGGACTTGACCTTTTGTTCACAAAGTTAGGACTCTACATAAATATTTTATGCTTTGTACTCTGTACTCTAGAGAGAGAAATAAAATTATGCTTTGTACTCTAGATAGATAGAGAAATTAATTAAACAGGGTTTGGACTCTAGAGAGAGAAATAAAATAATTGTTTGGACTTTATACGGAGAGAAATATATGGTTTCGTTTCGACTTTAGAGAGATAAAATATCGATGGTTTTCGACTTTAGACTTTAGAAAGAGAGAGAGAGGGGGAAGATGGAGGGGAGTTTTATTTTGTGGCTCTTTCTTTCTTTCTGTGATACGGATAATTGAGTGTACATCTTAAATTCTTCTTTAGTCGTGCTCCTCGTGGAGCATATTGTATATTGACTCCCTCGTACGAAAAAAGTATTTGAGGAATATTTTTATTTGAAATGCATTTTTTAAAAAAAGAAGAAAGTTTATATAAAATTGCAATTTTATAAAAAAAACCGGTAGAAATAGTGCTCAGAAGTCGTCGAAAAACACTTCCATTGATCATCTCGACCTCATGATGTATTACTCAATCTGCACATAAAATTTTAAATTTCATAATTATGACTTAACATCGATTTTTAAGCCCTTGTAAGGTTTTTGAAACTGGAACTACATATTATAGCAAAGTTTAGAGGTGTCTTAACTGTAGGCATCTTATACACCATCACCCTTAAAAAAAACCCACATATCTTTAGGTGGGTATAGTTGGTATAACGCTTGGGCCCTAAATAATCAAAGTAAGACATATCTTCAAATAGTATCGAAAGATGTCTTTTTGGTGTCAAAAATATTTATAATGGCCTGAAAAATTTATCTTCATCTCTAATTATAAATTTAAAGCTTAAAAAATACTATACTGTAGATCAAATAATTCTATGAACGCTTGAAAACCTTGAAACTAACAATCTAGATGATACATTACAAGATGAATTAAATCCTTTTTTTTTTACATTCGTGTATGTGATGGTTGAGATGATCGGATTTGAGGGTTTTTCAACATCAAAACAATTTTTTCTAATAAATTTTTTAGGCATCCCTTATTATTTTGATTGTTTAAGGCCTCGAAAACTTTATATAAACTTTTTCCTTTTAACACTTAAATATTTCCCTTAAAAAATTAGGCATTCCCTAGTCGACCTTGGGGCATTGTTTTCCAAGCAAGTGGAATGTTTGATTCGAATGTGTTGTTATTGACGTTATGGGCTAGAATCAAGAAGTTACATCCCAAAATTTAGGATTATAAAAAAACAGAGATCTCGGCTTTTACCCGATGGAGCAAGTGGACAGTATGCTCCTGCTGAATCACTTCACAACTTCTCAAATTAATTGTCCAACCCCAAGTACCCAATCTCTTCAAAATAATAAAAAATGATTCATATCACTTCGTCTTGTCACAGTAAAATGACAAGGGTTGGGACTTGTTTACTTCGAGTCATGGAAAAGGTGATAAGCTTGTCAAAGTTTGTCCTAACACCTATTATATTCTTAAAAGGAAAAGTGTTCTATGAGTTACCATTCTTCAACGTCCATCTTTAATATGGACGTTCTGTAAAACGCATCGGGTCAGATCAAATATGTACGATGCCAATAATATCCCTAAAAAATGTTTTTTTTTTTTTTTTTTTTTTTCATATATATAATTGGCTTAGGTGATGAATCTCTAAAATTTTTATCAAAAATCCAAGATAGATTTTAGAGGAGGTCCCACCGGTTCGTATGAGTCGGCTGAGTCATAAAAGGATCCGGTTTCTATGCAGCCAAACCCGCATATGTAAAAATGCGGGCTTATTAATAAATCTATTTTCTAAATGCATTTTTGCATTTAATTTTTAAGGACATTATCCTCTTGCAATTGAAATAGAATGCTCTCTCTCTCTTGCATTTGGAGTAGAACTCTCTCGCACACTCTCCCTCTCTCTCCACCCTTTGTCAAAAAAGAAAGAAGGTCTCTCTCGATCATGGTCTCTTCCATTATTTTAAGGAAGAAGTTTATATGAGGTTGTGATCTTAAAATCAAAAATCCATCAAAAAAAACTGTTTTACTATTGAAAAACCCTCTAATTGATCAACTTGACATCGAGATATATGACTATGGAAAAAAAAAAAAAGATGGAGTACCAATAAATAATACATATTGCAACACATTATCTAAATTGTCCATTTTTAAGATTTTTATATATTTATAGATCTACTTGATTTTAACTATTTTTAAAGTTTAAAACTTTATAATTAAATATAAAAATAGATTTTCAGATAATCCTAAGAATTTTTTATACAAAAATTACATGACATGATAAAATTTGTAAGTGTGCCTTAATTAGATTGTTTAAGATTACAACCTTATAGGAACCGCACCCTATTTTAATTCATGGAAAATCAGGTTAACAAACATGTCAAAATTTGTTGTCATGGTTTAAAATTTTCTTATATAGCAAAATTAGAGGTTGTTTTTATGGATCAGGCCCAACCCACTACATGTATAGCAAAGTGATTCAAAACTTGATAAGTGGGGTGGATCCGTTTACCCACAAATTTATGTCAGATCTCTAGAAAAACAACATGGATCGTACTTCTAGATCAGTCCGAATTGGTGATCTAAAAAATACTAATAAATGAATAAAATAATATAAAAATTAAAATACGGGTTTATCGTGCGGGGATTTTAAAAAAAAGCTACAAATATATTACATAGACTTAAAATAAATAAATAAAAATATACAGGGGGTTTTGGGAGAAAGCAGTCCAGGACCATGCCATTCTGAAGCCAGATCGGTCCTCTCTCTCCAATCTCTTCTTGAATATCTACAATTTTCTCTCTCTCTTCTCTTCTATTCTCTTCCGTCCATCTCCACCCATGTGTTTTTTTATTGAATTATCTTGAACCTCTTTGTCTCCAATTTATTGTCGAATATTTACCCTTCTCTCTCTCTCTCTCACCAATGTGTTTTTTATTGAATAATTTAATCAAGATAATATTGGTAGAGAGAGAATGTGTGTTAGCGTAAAAGAATTATAGATATTAAAGAACAAATTAGAGAGAGAGAGAGAGTGAGAACATGAAGATAATTCAATCAAGAACTCGCAGGTGTAGAGAGAGAGAGTTGTATATAATAAAGAAGAGATTGAGAGTGAGATCATGAGGGAAGACATTTAACAGGAGAATGGGGCTCTTCTCTTTGTCTCCTACTTAAAACCCAGAATCTCTTCTCTCAATTCATGCCCACTTAGCTACTTGTTGTGCTGGAACAGTTAGAAAGCCGCATAATTCCGTCTTCTCCTGATAAGCACCGCCTAAGAATTATCCATTAAACAAATGCACCTGAATCAATGTTGCAAATTGCTAAAAATCTGTTTGCTTTTTTAGTTGTTTTCCCTGTTTATTGAAAATGAACTATCCTTTTGTAAATACCCAAATCACCATGACTACTAGTCAACTCTTAAGACAGAAAGAGAACATCTCACACTGTTCGAGATTTGAACAAAATCGAGGGCGGTGCAGCGCTGAAAGCGAGGGAAGGAAAAATGAAAAGGAAATTTCTCATTTGACGGCGACAATTAATGAACTGTTTTTTTCCAAATTAGATTTTGAAGTGGGGACCTAAGAAATAATAGATGAGAATTAGAACTGAATTTTTTGAAGGACTGAACTTCACGAACATATACTTTAAAGTTGAAACCTAATTAGGGGGATATTTTTTCAATATGAAATTTTTCCATCAACCATTATTTTTAAAAGAGAAAATTTCACTTGTCAATTTTTTTAACACTCAGATCTCGCCCTTGAGATTTTTTTTTTTTTTTTTCAATTAGTACAATTTAGAAAACTTTATTTATTGACGTTAGTTAGGGATGGGGATGGGCCAAGCCCTGGCCATAGTGCCCATGGGGCTGGCACAGGCCCAGTCCTGGCCTTATGCAAGCCGGGTTAGGCCAAATATAATCACATAAAAAAACTAAAGGAAAAAGCTAAGAAACAGGACCAGGCCAAGCCAAACCAGGCTGGTCATGGCGCAGGCCCTAGATTTTTAGGATCGGGTCGTGCGAACCGGCCCATTACCACCCCAAAGGTTAGCATGTGGTTTGGAGTTATATCTCCAAAATTCAGGGCTTACAATCACTCTTAGATTCGCTTTTACCGAGGGAGTAATTAGACACTACACTCCCTCGAGAGCATGAAATTGTTTAGCTTCTTAAAATATTTAAATCTAATGTATGAGGTTTGTGTAAAGCTTGACTTTATGGAAGTAAAATAAAGCTTCACCTCAAATCCTTGTTTGGAAAGTATTTTTTAAAATCAATTTCCAACAATGACAATAATTGTTTTAAAATCAATTTTCAATAATGACAATAAAATTTGAAACTCAAAAAATGGTAAAGATCTTACATATCTATGAACATTTATTTTTTTAGAAAAATTGACAGTCCAAAAAAATCGTTATAATATACATTATTTTAAAATTTGAATTTTTTTTTTTTTTTTTTTTTATTGACAATCATAATGTTTAAGTGGGGAAGATGGATGTAAAGTTTTTCCAATACTCAAATTACAATTTTCGAGATGAATTATGAAGGGAGTTTTTATAAGGGTCGAGCCACTATCAAACCTCTCTATGTCTTAGCCGTACCCTTTACGACGTCCCCAGAAGACAAAAAAATGTTTGAAATTTCCAGTCTCGAAGCCTTTTAAAACCCAACAAAAAAAAGAAAAAGCAAAAAGAAAAGAAAAAAAGAGGTTGGTTACATATTTTGAAATGTGCACAAATACTATGCTCCCAAATGACCATGG